ATTTTACATATAATTTGCATGAATATGTGATTTTATGTATAATTTGCATGTTCCTATGTGATTCTCTGTCTGTAATGTTGCTATGGCCACATTTAAAATCAGTTCTTGGTTTTTCTTTTTTCTAATGCTTCTTGCCCATTCATTACCATAACCAAGATTCCATACTCTAGGGCACGTGTCCTGTAAAGGGCCAGATAAAAAATATTTTCAACTTTGTGGCCCATACAACCTGTGTTACAACTACTCAACCCGGTTATTGAGATATGAAAACAACCATAGATAACATGTAAATGAGTAAGCATAGCTGTGTTCTAATAAAACTTCATTCATAAAAATAGGAGGCAAGCCAGATTTGGCTGGGAGCCAGTTCACTGACCCTGTAAGGGGCAAAACATCTGGAGAAGAGTCTGGAGGAGAGGGATGGCAAACATTATCAATGATCTGTGGTTCACAAGGTACACAAGCCTTTTAAAAAATATATGTATTAAAGATCGATGCATGCTTTATAACTGGCAGAATGAAACCATTTTTTAAAATTATACCATGAAATGTCTAGTGTTACATTAAAAACTTACAAGCTAGTAGCAGAATAGGTTAGCATTTTTCTATATGGTCACCCACTTACATGCCTCATTTAATGCATTTGATGTGTTGGCGGAAGAGGTATGGGAATTGAGTTGTTTTCCCCACTTATACTTTTATACTTTCACTTATCTCAGAAAAATATTAAATTCTGTTTGACCTCTAATTTTCAGTGGTTTCCAACATTATAAGCTTCTTGGACCACCACCCTTGATGTTTTTGATACAGTTATAAAGAATATTAAATAATGGCTAAGGGCCTTGTTAAGTTCTCCATTAACGCTCCAGTTATTTGCTTGTATATAAATAATTCTCTCCAGAAATATATACAAGAAATTGGGTATACTGGCTGCCTCTGGGGAGAGACATTGGAGGGAAGATGACTTTTTCACTGACTACAATTTTGAAGTATTTCAACAGGCAAGGATTTCCTACTCAAACAACAGAAGAAAAGATATGTCGCGCTCTGGTATAAATGTTAATTTACAGCTAAGAAGCAACTTGCATGATGAAGCAATACATGATCCTTTATTTATGACTTGGACACTAGGCACAATCCCACCTATTAAGAGGAATAACTTTATGAAGTCTATTAACAAATTTTAAGCAACATCTACCAAATGGAAATCCCTTTTGGGTGGTTCTGGGCTAGGGAAAGTGTGTCTGTGTGTTCTTGAAAAGGAATCAGATGTCTGGAGGCTGAAGAAAAAAATTGCACGCTGGGAAATTTTGTGTTTATGCTGTAAATGTGACTGTTCTGTGTTGTATATCATTCTAGATAGAGTGACCTGTTTTTTAGATGTTGAAGTAAATGCAACATCTGTGTTTGCAGGAATATTTGATGGTTATTCTCCATCTGCCTAGAATTCCTAACATCTTTTTTCTCTCCAATCTTAGCTTAAAGATGAGTAAAAGAGCAGAGAAGAGATATAGTTTCCGTAAGTAGAATTTTGTTATGAAGATGGAGCAGCACAGTTCCTTCAACATACAGAGCTGCGTTACCAGCGCGGCTGCAAGCAGCTGCAGGACAAACACCATGACAGAAAAATAATATGGTTAATGGCTGGGGAATTAGTGTAGTTCACCTTCTCCAGGAATCATTACATGTCATGATGTGTCAGTGGAGTATATGCGATTGTTTGTATTA